GTATGTATGTTCCTATGACCATTTTCTAAATTGTTTTGGGTTTGTTTTTGTAGGTCCTTTTCTTCCCTTGTGTTTCCCACTTAGAGAAGTTCCTTTAGCATTTGTTGTAGAGCTGGTTTGGTGGTGCTGAATTCTCTTAGCTTTTGCTTGTCTGTAAAGCTTTTGATTTCTCCATTGAATCTGAATGAGATCCTTGCTGGGTAGAGTAATCTTGGTTGTAGTTTCTTCCCTTTCATCACTTTACGTATATCATGCCACTCCCTTCTGGCTTGTAGAGTTTCTGCTGAGAAATCAGCTGTTAACCTTATGGGATTTCCCTTGTATGTTATTTGTTGTTTTTCCCTTGCTGCTTTTAATAATTTTTCTTTTGTCTTTAATTTTTGTCAATTTGGTTACTATGTGTCTCAGCATGTTTCTATTTGGGTTTATCCTGCCTTGGACTCTCTGAGCTTCCTGGACTTGGGTGGCTATTTCCCCTCACATGTTAAGGAGGTTTTTGTCTATAATCTCTTCAAATATTTTCTCAGGTCCTTTCTCTTCTCTTCTCCTTCTGGGACTCTAATAATGTGAATGTTGGTGCATTTAATGTTGTCCCAGAGGTCTCTTAGGCTGTCTTCATTTCTTTTCCTTCTTTATTCTGTTCTACAGCATTGAATTCCACCATTCTGTCTTCCAGGTCACTTATCCATTTTTCTGCCTCAGTTATTCTGCTAAAGATTCCTTCCAGTGTATTTTTCATTTCAGTTATTGTATTGTTCTCCTCTGTTTGTTTCTTCTTTAATTCTTCTAGATGTTTGTTCTTTAATTCTTCTAGGTCTTTGTTAAACATTTATTGTGTCTTTTCAATCTTTGCCTACATTCTTTTTCTGAGGTCCTGGATCATATTCACTGTCGTTATTCTGAATTCTTTTTCTGGATGGTTGCCTCTCTCCACTTCATTTAGTTGTTTTTCTGGGGTTTTATCTTGTTCCTTCATCTGATACACAGTCCTCTTCCTTTTCATTTTGTCTATATTTCTATGACTGTGATTTTTGTTCCACAGGCTGCAGGATTGTAGTTCTTCTGCTTGCTGTCTGCCCTCTCTAAGCTAAACTGAACTTTAGCTGTAACATGATTATCCCATGAAAGACAAAGCAAAACTTAATCCCTGAATGTAATCATGTGTTTAAAGAACAAGACATACCTAAGGAGCTTTCTAATCTGTCCTTATATCACCACTGTGAGAGTAAAATTTAAAAGAACTAGTTATTTCTTACAGTATCATTCAAATTAGGTAATATAATTTGAAGCCTTGTACTTAAACCTTTTAATTTTATGTTTAGTATCCAGTTCAGATATTAACAAACCTCTTTGGCCCTGGAGTGAGGTTTAACAGTGTCTTTGGATATACAGGAATCATTTAAGTAGCACCAGAGGCCACTACATGGGCAAAAATTACTTCCCAAACCCTACCAGGAATG